TAGAAAGAGTAAGAGTCAAGCTTGCGCATGATTAAAAACAAGTTTGCACTGTAATATTTGGTAAACTGCCATGTTTCTTTAAAGTTATACCTGCACTGAAGTAACTATGCTATACAAATGATTAGTATTTTGGTGTTTATCCTTCTTGTTTTTCTGTTCTATAAATGCAAAAAAAAAAAAAAGATGCAGAAAGAATGCTGACAAGTGTAATTAAGCTTAACAAGGATGGCGGTGTGTGGAATGTATAAATATGGGATTAATTTCAGCTGGTCTATTGCAATCCTGTGTTTATTCCTGGGAACACCTGGAACCAGTCATGTTGTTGATTGTTGGCCAAACCTGAATGTAACATACCAACTAGTGATTAATACAGCCCTGTCCAAGGGTCACAGATAGACCAGGGGACAACCTGTACTAGCCTGTCAACATTGTTTATAGAAATTGTACAGACTGACGGTTTGCAGTTACGTTTTCTTGGTTTCTGCTTTTAAACCTGGTCACACAGCCTGATTCTAGCTACATGACCAGGGAGGGGTATAAAAACACCCTCCTAGTACAAGATGGATGCTCCCCTGAGACCAAGGTATCTTACCTAGATCTCAGTGGTTCACAATCTGAAGATGAAGCATGTCCTGTGCAACTGAGAGACGATCCCGAAAGTTGTGTCTGGTAGTTTTGAAGCTCTTCTGCCTGTTTTTTTCCTTCTGCCGTACCCAAACCTCTACCTTTATATTAAAGCCTTACATAACACAGGACACAAGGAATGAGCATTACTTAATGTTAAGTGGATAAATAGAGATTACAAAATGTCATTCTAAGGATCGCCAATTCTTTTGCCCCTATATTTTAAACACCCTTTCCTTCATATCCTTTTGCTGAGCTGTCTGTCACTCCCTGCTGCTGACAGCTCTGAACAGCACTCCACCTCTAAAGCTCCTGTTTGCTGACAAAGCAGACATTCTAAGTTTGTTAGAAGTATATTGCTGATTTAAGTACACAGGATGGGAGAAAAGTGCTTATTATTCAGGCAAATGGGTCAGTAAGTCATTTCACCAAGGAATTCTTTTTTGGAAAAGGAGCTTACTTGAAGTCTCTAAACATTTAAAGTCAAATTAAGATATACAGCTGCGAAGTACGTTAGTTACATCAATAAGATACACTATTTTCCAGTTCAAGTATAATTTTAGGCCAGAAATAAATGTGATAGGAATAGGAAAACAATGAACATATGGGCATTTTTCCCTATTTGCAGGATTTTACCTCTGGAAAAGGAGTTATGTAAGAACAGAAGAGTCACAAGAGAAAGCTAGGATTCTAAAGACACAGAACAACTATGAAACAGCAAATGATAAAAGAATAACGAGATCAAAATGTACCTTTATATAGTCAACAAGATTTTGATATTCAATGTAGTTGCCTCCTCCTACCACAAAAACAATTGCCTAAAAATGCAAACAGAAAAAAAATGTAGGTAAGTTGAAAGAAATAGTTAAAATAGTATTTTAACTTTCAAGCAACATGGTTTTTAATCTGGGGTCTATTCCATAACATAGGTAAGAAAATACTAGCCAGCAAAAGGTCACAACCTGAGCTTCTGATGCTACTTCAACTATAACGAAATTTGTTTCTAAAAAGTCTACAAATTTATAAATTTCTAATGTCTGTTGAGTGGTAAAATGAAGTAGAGATTTTTCAGAAACAATTTAGATGAAAGTAAACTTCATTCTTCAGTCAAGTAATAGCAAACAAATCCAAAAGCATTTTTGAATTTGAGGTTATTTATTGCAGGTAGGAAAAAGAGAAAACTTAGCATTTATATAATTTCTAGTACATGCTCTTTAACGTAATTTTATTGAGAAGCTTTTTTGTATTTCAAATGAAAATGTAGTCAATATCTTCACAAAGGTTTGGAATCTCATTTTAGAAAAAAGTTTCATACACAATACTTTCACTGCAATCTTAAAGACTTTTTTTGTGAATTACTTAATTTTGTGTCAGTTATTTTTAAGCTTAACCTATTCTAAGCATAGGCAGCTTTATAAATCAGGAAAATACAGTTGCTAAGAATTTTTTCTTTTCAAGAATTTTAGGTGCACAGAAATGAATATATCAAGATTGCCATGCAGTAATTATACTAAAGTCACGTTCAGGACAAAGCTACTCTTCAAGACTGCCTGGCCACCTTTTCAACTTCCCTTTTTAGGGGCAGAGAATTTTTATACTGAACTTACCTCTTGGAATGGATTTTTGTTCCTTGGAACTGAGCTGTAACAAAGAAAAATCATAAAAAACTTCACCCAAGACTTTTCTTATGGAAAAAAAAGGCATGGGAAACACACACACACTCTCTCTCTCTCTCTCTCTCTATTAGATGTGTATTTACAATTCTTGGTCCGTCACCCTCCTAAGCCAGGTAGTGAATTGGGATACAGAGGAAAAAGCTAGAAGAGCTACATGTTTCAGTGTCTAAAAGGGAATGGGCAAACCTGTTCACTTTAAAATAAAATTCTAGAGAAGACTGAGAGGGAGAAAGAACGACTGAGCAGCAGCTCCCACAAGGACTGGAAATCTGGGTATAAGATGAGTTGATAACATATATAAACTTTAGTGGTAAATTATGTGAAATTTTTACCATGCTCAACATATTATAGTTTGTGGGTATCTACATTTGTGAAAAAACTACGTAAACACATATATGGGGAGCATATCAACAATTTAGGGAAGAAAAGGGGGATGGGAAAAGGAATCTGCATTCGGCTGTAGCTTTTTTTTTTTTTTAAAGATTTTATTTTTTCCTTTTTCTCCCCAAAGCCCCCCGGTACATAGTTGTGTATTCTTCGTTGTGGGTTCTTCTAGTTGTGGCATGTGGGACCCTGCCTCAGCGTGGTCCGACGAGCAGTGCCATGTCCGCGCCCAGGACTCGAACCAAGGAAACACTGGGCCGCCTGCAGCGGAGAGCGCGAACTTAACCACTCGGCCACGGGGCCAGCCCCTGGCTGTAGCTTTTTTTTACACTTACAGATATTACATATTAATATCACATACATATTAACTACATATTTATATATTTATAACATATTTTAAAAATACTTCTTGGTGTCCAAGAACTCTTTTAATGAAATGCTTTTCAAGCTTTTATAAGTCATTTATATATTTGAGTGCTAAAATAGGCTGTACAAAGACAACTTAGGTTTTCCTCACAAGCAATTTTTGAAAACCTCAGCCAAGAGCAGACAGGTATTATAACCTCTCCTAATTGTTCAGAGGCTGATTCCACAGTTCTATCATCCTTTCCTCACTTCTATGGCCTGTCTGAATATTCCTCAGAGGGGCCAGAAGCCCACCTGACTGAAACGCCGCATTAGTGTTTAACTTCCAACTAGAGTGCTTTAAGTTCCTTTGAGAGTAGACCTGGGGTGAGGAGAGGCGAGACTTAAGTAGCACAGTATTGCTAGTTATTAATAACCCAGATCTAATTGTGATGAGATAGCTCAGGAAAAGGTTGAGTCTATTAAAAATGAAACTCTGACCTTCTCTGTGTTATCAATGCTAATATTCCTACTCATTATCATGCATAAACTACAGGTGTGATTAAAAGAATGCCTCGGAAAATTTCTAAGGAGCAAAATATATCTACTTGTTAGCCATATGTAAACACAAAGAAGGTAAAAACGTAAGCTGCAGAATATCCAGACAGGAAAAGAGCTGTAAACCCCCCTTTAAAGTGTATCATCAGTGGTTTTAGTGTATTTACAGAGCTGTGCAACCATCAGCACTGTCTAATTTCAGAACATTTTTATCACTCCCCAAAGAAGCCCAATACCCCTTAGTTGTCACTCCTCATTCTCGCTCTTCTATAATTTATTCTTTGTCAAATTCTCTCTTGCCAGCTGCAGCTGCTCTCAGCAGCTTCCTTTGCAACTTCAGCAGTATTTCTGGTAAGTTCAGAAATGAGAATAACCTTTTGAGTTAACAAAACAATCTAATAGTGAACTATGAAGTGACTAGATGATCTGTTCTGACTACCTACAAAGATGTGAACGCTTGGAGAAAGCAAACACAAAGTTCTGAAGATCCCAAACATAAGGTCTAGGGAAGAAACCAGCTTCACCCACGTTTTGATGCTACACACAATCATTCCAAGAAGGCTTTCTCCCTCCCAGTTCTGCCTATTCTTTCTCTGTATCTTGTAGGCTATTTTTCATACACTATGAATTAAATCTTGAAAAATAATATCCATAATAAAGTAAATAAACATATTACCACACGATGTTTGTCATCAAATATAGAAATTATCTGTAGAATGTTTCACTGCCGTAAAGGAGTATTTATAGCAACGGTTCCCAGGGGCTTGGATTTTAGGGACCAGTTAAACAGAAAACAAAACCAACAAAGCAACTGGTAGCCAACATAAAGCTCCCATCTTTTCATTTGATCCAATAAGAATATTCATTTAAAAACATACACCTGGGGCCGGCGCCGTGGCCAAGTGGTTAAGTTCCTGCACTCCGCTTTGGCGGCCCCAGGGTTTTGCTGGTTCAGATCCTGGGCGCGGACATGGCACCACTCATCAAGCCATGCTGAGGCAGCATCCCACATGCCACAACTAGAAGGACCCACAACTAAAAAAACACAACTATGTACCAGGGACTTTGGGGAGAAAAAGAAAAAATAAAATCTTAAAAAAATAAATAAATAAAAACATACACCTTATCCAAATTCCCCTCCCCTGTCTCAACTACCAGTGTTAAGTACAATTACCAGTGTAATGAGATTACACATACTGTTTACTTACCAGTTTTCTACATAGTTGCAATTTTTATTAATAAGCAATTATTGATTTATAACAAAAAAGCAACTAAATTATTTCCACTCTTGGCGGGAGTGGGGAAATCTACAACAAATTATATAAGACAAGAGCTGCTTACCTGTCATTGCCCCGCAGCATTTTTGGATCAAAATATCTATAGTCATCAGTTTCCTATTAAAAAAATAGAACTTTGCCATGACTATGGAATTTCTCTTTAGAAAGTCACAGTTTGGCTTAGAGTATTTTATTTCAATGACTCTATTAATTTGGTAGAAGGTGTAACCACCACCACCGTTTACTGAGCACTTACTACATATTAAACATTATTCTAAGTGCTTTAGATGAAATTACTCATTTAATCCCTATAACATTTATGAGGTGGCTGTTATTGTTATCCCTATTTTTCAGATGGGCAAGTTGGGGTACAGAGAGGTTATCTAACTTTCCTAAAGTCACATGACAAGTAAGTATGAGAACTCCAGGATTTAAACCCAGGTAGTCTAGTTTCAATACCCAAGCTTTAATTACTATACTGCTTCTCAAAAATAAATCTGTTTTATAAAGTAATGTACCTATATATTTTTGTTTTTAGAATTTCATTATATTATCCTTATATGTCCATGATTTTATTGAATATACAGAATAACTAATACAGGTTCACAATCTCTCTTATTTGAAACCTTTGGAGTTATATATACTTCAGAATTTTGAATTACAAAGCAATTTTAGATACCACTGTGCATAAACTGTATATAGCGTGTCTGTGACTGACAGGATGCTGTGGAAGGCATGTATATGTTGGATTGAGCAGTAGGCAAGAACACAGGAGTAGCAGATTTTGGTTCCAATTCTGCTACTAAAAATAGTGTGACTTGGGAAAAGTCACTTAACATCTCTTGGTTTCCTCTCCTCCATTATTAAAATTACTTCTAATGTTTCCTTAAACTCTAACCTTCTGTGTTCCATGAAGGGCATGGGTCTTGCCCTAATCAATACAGCACAGTGGTGAAAACTGTGGCTTGCCCAGTTCTGTCATTTATTAGCTGCGTGTCCTTGGGCAAGTTGAGCAACCTCACTGTGCCACAATTTCCTCAAATTAGTATTTTTCTTAGAAGGGTCTAACGAGGATTACATGAGATAATATGTGAAAAATGTTTTGAATGTTTCCTGGCACATAAGAAGTATGTAAAAAGTGTTAGCAATTATCATTATTCATCATCTCAACTTCAAGATTAGGGACAGTAACAAAATATTCTAAACTTCCTTAACCCCTTGGGGATTTGGCATCTGTCTAAAATTTTGCATTTATTTCTATTGTTAATCTTTATTATTGTTTGGGATAATATCTTCTAGAAATTTACTCCCTATTATGAAATAGTATTCTCTAAGATAATTAGTCATAAATGTGTACTTCTCTCAGGCTTTTCAGGAAGAGCTCCTTCTTCACATACTCTAGAACACAGTAACAAAGTCCACTATTACTACATTGTAAACCACTTTCTGTCTATCGATTCCCGAATGGAAGAATCCAATCGTTTTCAGCTTATCATTACAGACAATTCTCTCGTTCCTCTCGTAATTGTAGTTGCCCCTTTTGGGGCTGTTTTATTACTCTGTATCTTTGTTTTCACATGGGCAGATTTTAAAACTTGTTTTTGTTAATTTCCTTTAATGTTGTTGTAATCATGTTTTAATAATTACAAAAATAACACATTAAGGTTCTGTTCTCATTCTCTTTCTTAGCCTGTATCCTAAACCTTGATGCCAAGTCTATAGTGATCCAGATCAACCCAAACTACGGTTTTGATGTGGGTAGGATCATGCTGCCTTTCTTGATTTCAGACTCTGGTGATGATAACCACCCTCCAGTTGCCACAGGAATAGGATGGGCTTTTTTATGAAACAGATTGTGATGATTTTATTCCTTTCTTGAATTGTAAACAGATAGCTTGGAAACCCATTCCTTAAGTAAATGCTAACAATATTTACCCACTTGTCCATTCATCCAACAATTTCTCTCTCTCAAATTACTTTTTCAGCCCAAAAGAATTTAGAGCCATCTGAACACATGCACTTGAAAATTTCACTATGCACTCCTCTCCTAATTTAATTTTCATAAAATTAAATTGGTCTGGTACTCTGTACAGCACACCAACTGATGTGCACTCGTTCTTTTCCACCTACAGAGACTTGCTCCTTAGGATATATTTCACATTTCATTACACATACAAGATATAATCTACATTTAATTTGGACGAGAGCTGGCTAGAATGGTTGTAGCTGCTAAGAAAATCAATTGCCATTATCTGTGGTAATGGCTAAAAAAGGTTCTTTGAGAGCATGGACTTTTTTCTTTCTCTCACGTAGTCTGCTGTGATTAAGCCCACAAGAAATCCAGATTTTATCACCTTTCCTATAGTAAGTTTGAGACGTTCAAGAATTTACAATTACAATGTCATCTGATACTCACAGGATTTGACTTCATCTCCATGAGATTGTCTAAAATACGAGTAACAGGTAGATTCTGTGGAAGAGATTAGTATTTTGTTAAATATTAGAAGAATCACAAGCCAGAATTCTTCTTTAGTAACAAGACCACCTAATCACTGTGCAGTGAAGGATGCTCGCCTCTCAATTAAGCGCACTCTAAGGTTAAGCACTGTGAACGGCGCCATGGGTGCACACAGCCTGGGCCCTGGTTTCCATAGGAAGAATAGAATTCTAAATCAAAAGCTCCTTTTGATCTGTAGGTGTTTCCAGGTTTTAGTACAAATACATGTTTGGGCTTTTTACTTTGGTGGATATTTGCTTTTTAATACTAGTAACTGCAAAGTTTTGCTTTGATCAAATAAGAACCCCACTGTTATTTTGTTTTCATTTCCTTTTTGCAGACTGTAAGAGTTACTCTAAACAGAGTAAAGTTTGCGAAAATGTATGAGATTAAATGACCTAACGGAGTTCTTTCATTTCTACTGTATATTCTTCTAGCAGAAAAGATACTTGTGCTCTTTGAAAAATGGGGAAATGGATATACACACAACTTTATTGACCATTTTTACTTTGCTTGGGGTAAATTACAAATTTTCTATGACATACTGCATTGTCTTTTTACAGAACAAATGACACTTTGAACATGAAATGTATAATACTGATGTTGGCAGAAGATTGCCTCTTGACAGGCTTACATGCCTTGGGATAAGAAATACTATTGTTACATTTCAATCTGACCATTTTTATCATTATTTTGAATATAACATACGGAGTACAGAAAATTTACCAAGTGACTATTATGCCTATTCAAAGTGAAGTCCTGCTGGATGGTATTCTGCCCACTTTGAACTGATTATTTCCTTTGTGAACTGTGCAGGATGTCCTGCAAAGAATAGTTTTTGTATCTTAGAGACTTCATACAACAAAGGCAACATTAAATCTGACTATTCAAATAACTGTAAATAACATATTACTATTTTACAAGGAGTTTTACTTTCCTTAGGTCATAAAACATTTTATTTTTACTAAAATGGACTATCACTAAGGAAAATGCTGCTTTGCTCAAACAGAAAATATACATTTCTTTTTTCTTTCTCTAGATTGACAAGTAAAAACTCTTTAAAATGATCTTAGGCAAGTAAATTAAAGCTATTTCATTATTCTCTGATACTTTTGTTGGCCAAGAACTTCTTAATATAAACACAGCACCAAGTGCTCCAGCTGACTGAATGGACTTCCTGAATTCCACTCCTTAGAATTAAAAAAAAATAAGGTAGCTTATATTTTACCTTTAAAGTTTTACTTCAAATAAAATTGAGTTTGTTCATGTAAGAATAAGTCTAAACCATAACTTTCTCTAAAGAATAATTCGGTGAAGATTTAAATGTATAAAAATGCTTTATCCAAAAGAAAAAACTACACTTGTATATTTGTTCCAAATAACACTAACAAAAGATGATGAAGTACTTTGCACATAAGAGGAAGAAATAATTTAAAAATTCTGGAGCAAAGGAACATTATAAATTGCAAGGTTTTACTATAATTATACTCATTTCTCTATTTACATTTATTTAACTCTCTGTTTAGCTCCCTAAATTGTACTATTAGATCTGTGCAATGGAGAAAAATTCAGAAAAGATTTTATATAATGGTAAAGCCCTAAGTGTCATATTACTTTTATTATATTTGTGAAAATAATTGGAAATTTGAATCAATATCTTATGATAAATCTTCATTTAGTATAAAAATGAGATTTTACTAAAAGGTACAATTAAATTTTAGATTTTATAGCTCTGCTATATCTGAATATCTGCTATCTGAAAACAAGCCTGCCAGTAAATAGGTCATTAAATAACAAAAGAAAAATTTCTTTCTAGGAGAATAGCTCAAAAGTTTAAGAGCCCAGAGACCACTCTTCGTTTTCATCTGGTCTTTACAACCAGGTAACACCAGAAGAAGCATCTACCACTGCTGCACTGTAAGATGTTCACACACTGTCGCAGATTAAGGAAAACGTCCAGTGTCGAGAATGATAAAGGAAATACACAATGTCTTTAAAGGCATAAGGAAGAGTACTTCAGGAAACAATCTGAGATCTCTCTGTCACCAACTAATTCTCTACCTAGGCTCCATTGTTTGTCTAAATGAAGGCTTAAATTCAGTTAATCACTTTTATATATTTTTAAATTTTTTTTTTTTGGTGAGGGAGATTAGCCCTGAGCTAACATCTGTGCCAGTCTTCCTCTACTTTCTATGTGGGATGCTTCCACAGCATGGCCAATGAATGAAGTAGGTCTGCACCCAGGATCTGAACCCGTGACCCTGGGCTGCTGAAGCAGAGCACACATAACCTTAACCACTTGGCCATGGGGCTGGCCCCTTGAGTTAATAATTTATAAAAATCAGTTTTATATTAATAATTTATATACATGATTAATCACTTTTACTGAATGAAAAAGCTGAACTGTGGCAGCCAACAGAGAAAACCATACAATTTTCTTCGCTCAACAAATAGTCTGTTACTTTACATATCTTTAGTAACACAAAAAATTTGTGTACCTCAATAAAAGGGGTATAAATGAAATTTAATCAAATGGAAAACCCATTAATCCTTTAAAAAATTCCCAAGCATATTTTTCACTGCTTTTGGAAACTGCTGTTTTAGAAATAAAATGAAAAACATTACTGTATAGATTAGTAACTAAATTTTTATTAGCAGAAAGCCTCAATGATAGAGATTGAAAGACAGAGCCCCACACACATCAATATCCTAAATTAAGGACCACTGTTTCCAAGATCTTCAAATTTCAACTGTATGAACTAGAATTTTACCTGGAGAAAAAAATACAGTGAGAAATCAATTTCTAAAAACCCTAACTGGTTTTATATAAAACCATAGTCATATTTTACAATTTTAATCACTAGAAAAGTTTAAATAAAAACAGTGTTTTTGAAATCTCTGTGTATGTCTGATGGTGTAATTGCTTAAAAACAAAATTGAAAAAATATGGACAGAAATTAGAAAAACAGTCCAAGAAAAGTAATACAGCCCTATACCCAAAACAGTTAAAAAAATTTTCCCCTCTAGTTCTCCTATAATTGGCCACTTGTTGCCCTATATCGCCATCTGGTCTGTGGTGACTATTTCCAACTCCCCCCCTGCAGCCTTGGGCTTGGGGTGAGACTCTGAGGCTGGAGTCAGCTGTGAGGCTAGGACAAGAGTTGCTGCTGTCCTGATTATCAAAGCCTTGGAGAATGAAAAGAAGTATGTGGACCTCCTTGAAGAGAATGCTTATCTTAAAGACAGAATTAGCCAAGTAAAGAATAAGACGGAATTTGCAGATACTGGAAACACACTGGGAATGAGGGATGCATCAAGGATAGAAGTGGTAGAAAGTTGTCAGTAAAGCAGACAGGAGGAGGGGGAATAAGATGGATCATCTATTTCTAAAAATTTAAAATTATAAATCAGAAAGGGATCAACAGAGTGAATCCAAAATCCATATCGATGAGGAAATGATAACATACCTAAAGTGGTATTTTTTCCAAAATCATAGCATATTAATGGCAAAAAATCAAGAAACAGGATTACATGGACCCAATAAAACACATCCAATGTTCCATCACTCAGCTTCAATTATCAACTCACGGCAAATTCTTATTTTGTCTATTCTCTCACCTACTCCCCACTCCCCTAGGTTGTTTTAAAATAAGTCCCCAATATTAAATCATTTTAGCAATAAATATTTCAGTATATATCTCTAAAATTTAAGAAGTCTTAACAAAAAAATTTAACACTATTACCACACCTAAAATTATTAACAATAATTTCTTAATACAGCTCAATATCCAGCCAATATCAAAAATTTTAAGTTCTATAAATTTATTTTTTACAGTTTTCTTGTTCAAATCATAATCTTAATAAGGGCCATACATCACAGTTAGGTATATCTTTTAAGTCTTTTTTAATCTGTTGACTTCCACTGCTTACAATTTATTTGCTGTTAATTCATTTTTAAGAGGGATTATTTTAGCAAATAAGCCAAAGGAACTGAAATAGAAGACTTAAATTATGCAGCCTTGTACCACATCTTTCATCATCACATGCTTGGACAGTTACCCTCACACAAATATATTCCAAATCCGTGAATATCATTCAAATGGTTTTGTGTGACAGCTGATACCTGGGATGTGTAAAACTTATGCTGCCCAAGAAACAAAGTATAAAAAGTTCTTATAAGTGACATAGAAAACTGGACAAGACATCCTGTTTTTCCTAATTTATTTATAGTGTAAAATGTTTATTCAGATAAAAAAATCCAAAACAATATTTAAAGATTTAAGACGCATAAAATTACTCAGAGTTTTCTAAGTGTGAAACAAGTCATCTCTAGCAGTCTCTGCTCTGCTCTCAGCTCCCAGCCTGCCCCAGATCTTCCACAGCAGTCCCTCTAAATTTAGAACATTAGGACAATGTAACTTGTAAGATGGACTTCTACGAGTTCAAACATTTCTAAAACTAGAGATTCTTTTTGAAGTATTAAACTGACAAAGATTACACACACATGTCCAGGAAGGATGTAGAGAAACAGGCACTATAAATTGCTGCATATTGGTACAACTTTTCTGGAGGGCAGTTCAGTAATATTTATTAAGAACAATTAGAAATGTTCACCCTTTTGATTCCATAATTCAATTCAAGTAGTTTATCATTTGGAAGTAATCAGAGATGAAAACTCACCCAGAAAAAACTAACATTTAAAGCCTAGGTGTATATCCTTCAGTATGCTCTATATTTTCTTTTTTTTTAATAACAAAGAAAGATCATATTGGAATTCCTGTTTTGTAATGTGACTTTTATTTTTACTTTACAATATAAAATGAACCACTCTTCCCCAAATCAATAAATGTTTCCTCTAATTCTGAACCTAAAGTCTAATTAACATCCACTTTAGAAAAAAAAAGGCACGGCAGGGCCGGCCCAGTGGCGCAGCGGTTAAATGCGCACGTCCCGCTTCGGCAGTCTGAGGTTTGCCGGTTCACATTCTGGGTGCGGACATGGCACTGCTTGGCATGCCATACTGTGGTAGGCGTCCCACATATAAAGTGGAGGAATATGGGCATGGATGTTAGCTCAGGGCCAGTCTTCCTCAGCAAAAAGAGGAGGATTGGCAGCAGATGTTAGCTCAGGGCTAATCGTCCTCAAAAAAAAAAAAAAAAAAAAAGGCATGGCTTTTTCCAGCAGTGGTGTCAGAAATGTCATATAGAGAGAGGTAACCACCAATCATTTCAACTTTTACCCCAAGTCAGAAACTACCTATATCAAATCAGTATGTTATTTGCAATGTTAAGGAAAAGAAAAGGATTTGAGGTCACAGAAGATAATTTGTTTTTATATTTTATGAACTTTAAATAAAATAAACTTTTGAGTGAGCACAATAAAATATTGAAGTCCATCAGTTTAGACACTTATAGGCATTATTAGGGGACACATATTATGTGACTCTAAGGTAGCACTAAGTTCAAAAAGTAAATATAATTATTCCAAAGATTAAAGTCTCTAATTTCTCAACACTATCAGTTATTTGTGATAAGGAATACTTTGTTTAGGAAATCTTACTATTGGGATTTCCTTCTAACAGTGACATGTTAAGAAGGTAGATTCTCAAAGGTAGATTGAGAAGGATTGAAAATAATTCTTAAGAGGAATGATGAAGCTAAAAAGTGTTCCCAAGCCCTTAAGAAATAATGCAATCTGGAATGATCTGCAGGAAAGTTAGGAAGTAATCAGCCTTTTAATTAAATAAAGCAAATTAAAATTTTTCACTGTTCTTTATTAACACTTCATGGTTTTTATAATAAAATGTTACTCACTTATTCAAATAAAGAATTGAATACCTACTTTATGCAAAGTGCTATGGAAAATTCAAAGATAGGGGAAAAATTTCTTGTTCTCAAGGAACTTACCATCAAGAAGTAAAACATAAAGAATGTCAACACAAAATATCACAGGTAAACATTATAAGAAAGGTGAAGAGTGTGGGGTAGTTCAGAGAAAGACAAGATCTAGTTTTTTTCTGCAAACAAGTAAACATTTAATATTCAGATCTAAATGACTGATAATTAACTCCATCTCGTCTTAATTTGGCCTTTAAATCCTTCTCATTACAAATTGAAGCATTTATGTGTGAAATACTATGTTTCATATTTGCCTTAAAATATCCCAGTAAAAATAAATAAAATAAAAGATATAAGTGGGGAAGATGAAACAAGAAGGGCAGGTGGTTGAGTACTGAAGTTGGTGAACGGTTCAGGAGAGTTTGATACACTAATGTATATTTGAAAATTTCCATAACAAAAAGAAATAAACAAATCTTGTTTGAAAAGAAACCAAATCAATTAATGATGACTCTCTGAAGCAAGCTATCTATATACTAGAACACAGAAAAACAACAATCATTAAAAAATGTTCTATGTGTAAAACTAAGACTCATTATTCCACAATGAAGTGTGAAATCAAGCTACAGTTTCATTACCCCAAAATATAAATCCTACTTAAAATATTTTATTTATTCTACTTTACACAGGCTTTTAGACTATTAATATTGTTAGCTTATTAATATCCCCAATATACGTTAAAACAAATGATATGCATTTATATAACAGTTCATTATTTTAAACAGGTTAAATTCATTTTCTTCAATTAATGTACTTTCACAAACCTGTAAAGAAGTTAAAGGAAAATCAAAATTTCAATAAAGTCCAATATGCAAATTAAAAAAAAGCATAAAATTACAGAGCTCTGAACTATACATGTAAAAATACTCTCATATCCTTAAATATACCAGTAAAGGACCCCTTGATTTTATTCCTCATATTTATAACTTGAATACATCTAGAAGTTGCTCTAGCTGAGGAATCAATCTGTCAACATTTATGTTCCAAAGTTACTGGCATGTTTTCTAACAAGCGTACTTACTTGCTGTTTCAATACCAGGTTCTTCACTCCTTCCATCACAAATTGTGATCCTGTATTCATGACTCGTGATAAAAGACTAGGGGTGAAAGAAAAGGATCACACTAAGTATAAAGTCTCTCTCCTATTGTTACAGATAAACTGTTTGTCTGATTACACACCACATGCTGATGCTAACTATGCCTAACACCTGTGTTTTCATTAAACACAAGTGACTTGAGAATTTCTGCTTCCATGGAGATCACAGCTGCAATTTTATTTAAAAATAAAAGAGTAATAAAATATTCTGGCTAGTCAATAATTATTAATAAAATGTAAAAATAAAGAGCTGCTCTCAAAATAAACATTTTAATTAATTAGCCTTAGCTATAGTTTTTAGGCAAATTATAATTTGAAGAGAATTCCTTGCTTTTCTGATTGCCTTAATGCTAAAACAATAAAATTAAAGATAGTAATTTAGATAATTTGCTTGAGGAGTTCAAAATATACTAACATATTGAAAATGTATAAGCCCATAAGTATGATGAGTAGGCCAAAAGTTCCTATGTTCTCCACAGCACAGCAGCCAGTTCCAGTGCTGCACTGTGTACTCTCTCCTCACCGTACATAAAACGTATCACACAAAAATGTGAAGTACAACACACCTAGTGAATTCTACCTCACCTCTGAAGAATGTTTATTGTCTGAATTTTTAACAACAAATATAACACCAAGAAATGACTTGCCATAATGGGTTTATATTTGTGGTTCACATAGGCTCTCACATGGAATCAAAGGATGCTATGTGCGACAGAATGGCAGTCCTGCATTGTGCTATCAGAAGACTAGGCACAGCCTTCAAATCCTCCAAGATTTTCTTACAACATGTTTTATTAAAATCCTCAACTACAAAATCCATAAGAAATCTAACACACTTTTAATATTCAATATTTTAAGACATGAAACTGGAGAGTCTATTTTATTAAATACATGAGAGTAATTTTCCAAAAATATTTTCCTTTTCCCTATCCTGTCCTCACTCCCCTCTGAAATGAAGAGATGGACAAGACGGGAATCCTTTCTTTAACAGAAACAAGAGAAAGTAATCTCTGTTGGAATGGATAGTTCTGAGGCAATTCCCTGGCCCCAGGTAACTCTGAGGGAGCGGGCTAACCTGCACAGCACTGTCTGAAGGTGGGGCCATCTGGATTCATCTTGCCAGGCACTTACAAGGTCCTGCCTTAGGCCCAAATGTTTTTGTTTTTTGGAGATTGTTTCAGTAAAACTAGCAGCTTGGGGTGGGGCTAGGATAAACCTGTTTTCCCCTGGGCTTCATGCTTTTGTTCTAAGCTCTAAAAAATAAGCTAGAATTTTGAAACTAGTATGGTATGGAAAAGAGTAGTTAGAATTATCTTGTTCAGTTCCTTTGAAAATCACACTCTAGGATTCTCTGGAGTCAGAAGTCATACCTAGCCCTGGGGAATTCCTCCCTATCAGTTAGCAGTACACCTAGGTCTGTCCTGAAGCTACGTCTTGAGCATCTAGCTTCAAGTCTATATTAGTCATCAACATTGATATAAAAATAGCTTTAACTTTCATGTATCTTCCGAAAATGAAAAACAATGCTTTAAGAATGAGGAAGTATACAAAACCACACCATGTAAAATATACTAACTTACATTTTAAAATGAGAATTTAAACTAAGGAAGCCAAAGGCATGTTGACATTTATTACAGTGAAAACATTCCGCAAAGTGTCACACATTTGTTCTTAAGGCATGAAACATGGTCTAGAGTACCAGACTTATTCAATCAGAATTATTAAAAATATTTACCCCATTGATTTAGTGGTAGTATTGCCATAGCTGGCAGGAGCTGAGGCCATCTTAGCAAAAGCCCTATAAAATAAAATAAATAAGAAAGTTATATTTAAAAGCTGATTATTAGAACTAACATTCAGTATCATGTCATTAAAATATCTATTGACTATAACTTTTACTATGCAGATATTTTCTGAAAAGAAATAATTTTTCAACTAATACAATTCAATGTTTCAGTACAATTAAATAAACAGTGATTATATAATTTGTAACCACGTAAAATAATGTCCAAGAACAGTACAAATAGTACCGAAACACTGAGATTCTTTAAAACACACAAAAGCATTATTTGTCCAAACTTCACAGTTTTTCTTCTTTTCATTTTTTTTATATCTGATCATTAGCATGAAAGAGAGACTTGCTGCCTTAAAAGAACAATCATGTACTGATAAGTTGAGTCTCTATGAGTCTCCAGATTCCATACTCCTTTGTTCCCAGACACATGCCTTTGCTCATGCTGCCCTTTGGGGGTATAAACTCACTGCCTTCTCCAATAAAAACTGTAGATTTCCTTTTAAGACTTGGCTCAAAACCAATTTCTTCATTAACACTATTCTAACGCTCCTACTCAGTGATTCTTCCTTTTAGTTATCTATAACACACACTTTCATACTTAATTGCATATAGCCATTTATTTTCAAATCTTTCTAAATGTCCATATTCTCTTTAACCAAACCATAGAATTCTTGACGGCTGGGCAAAAAGATGGCACTTAGATGTGTTTTTGAAAATATTTTCCTTCTGGGAATATGTTCACCGTAGAGAATCCAGAAAACAGAATGCTCCCAGAAGAAGCCTAATACTTTGAGATAATCACTGTTAGGATTATGGTATATATTTTTCTAATCTTTGGACACATGCATATATACCATATACAGTTTAAAAACAAAATTAGCATCATATTGTACATAGTATTCTCTAACATTTTAATAGCATACCATAAATGTTTTTATGTGAATCAACGTTCTTTTATAACGATTCTTATTTCAAATGCTTTTGTAAATGATAAGAAAAAAAAGTCTACCTAAATACAAGAAAACCTTATGAGAGTAAAAAAAGAATGGGAATCACTAAGATGAGGTAGTTGAAATGCTAAAGATATTCTATTTCAATGACAAAATCTGCTGATAATACCATTAGACAAATCCCAAACAGAAAAACCACAATCTCATTCAGAAAGGGGGATGTAAGAAACTGTTTCGAGAGTAGACTGAAATGTATGCCTTTAACAAAATTTTTCACAGAAAGTAGTATATCTAAATAATAAAGAAGGATCAAACAATTAATAGTTCATTTATATGGCTGAATATTATGCAAACACTAAATACTATCATTGGAGACTATTTAAGACAATGAAAAACCGGTGTGATAAAAGTTACTGGAAAACAAGTATCTATAATACAAACTAGTATCTATAATACAAAAAACCTAGTATTTATAACACAAAACTGTATCTATAATAATGATTTCCCAGTTAAAAAAATATGCAATATGCATATAAAAGGATATACACTAATGTTTAATGGTAGAATCTTTTTTTTTAAAGATTTTATTTTTCCTTTTTTCTCCCCAAAGCCCCCCAGTACATAGTTGTGTATTTTGAGTTGTGGGTCCTTCTAGTTGTGGCATGTGGGACGCTGCCTCAGCATGGCTTGATGAGTAGTGCCAGGTCCGTGCCCAGTATTCGAACTGGCGCAACCCTGGGCTGCCGCAGCAGAGCTCGAGAACTTAACCACTCGGCCATGGGGCCAGCCCCTAATGGCAGAATCTTGATGGTTAGATTACACAGGTGAATTTTTACTTTCTTTATACCTTTCTGAGTTTTCTAAACTTTTCTTCAGTAAACTGGTCTAACCCTTATAATTAGAAAGAAAAATGCTACCAATTAGAAATTATACATTTTGTAACCCTGTAAAATGATCTTCAAAACTGCCTTTCTTCGTATAACACCAAATGTTTAAGGAGTTCCAAATAAGTCATAATGTAAAACACAATGACATATGCCACACAGTCAAATGTGTAAGTGTATATAGTATAAAAATTGGAAAAGACAGTTTTCAGTTTACCTTATTAGACCAAGGTTTGTTGTTAAATTTTTTTATTACAAGAACAGTCAAATAAAAGGAATTTGAAACAACAAACAAAAGTATGGATAATAAAAAGTACTCATAAACTCACAACCCAGAGATAAGCACTGTTAATTTGGTATATTTCTCTTGCTATGCATATTTTTTGATACGGGTGAGATCAGAAAGCATATTCAATCTCATAGTCTTAAAAAAAGTAACTATTTTAAGAAATATTTTGAAGGTACTGCAGAAAATTTGGAAAATAAAGAAAAGCACTCAAAAGGAAAAAATTCTACCACTTGGAGTTACCTATTATTAGCCTTTAGATGTATGTCATCTCAGCTATGCAATTATATGTATATATGTGTACATACACACACACACGGATGATGGATAAAGGAACAGATAATAGGGATCATACTGTAAGAAATGTCATCTGAGTTTTGGCTCAAATGTCACCTACCCAGAGGCTTTCCCTGATCTCAACAAATTTAGCTATCACTTCCAACTAATTAAGATCTTATCACTTAGTTTTATTTTCTTTATATCACTCAATATGGTTTAACATTATTCTGTTCTTTTGTTTGACTTATTGTTCCCTCAACACAAGTGTACACTCAGTGAGTGCGGCAGCCTTCCACAGCATGTTCACTACTGTATTCCCAAAGTCTAGAAGAGTCCCTGGGCAGAGACAAAGGGAATATTTATCAAACGAGTCAATGAATGGCATTGTAAACTAGTTTCTCACTTTACAACATAACACGGACATTTCCCAATGTCATTAAATAAGTCTTCTACAACCCGATTTTTAATAACTCAATTGTATTTTCAAATGGAAATGCCATAATTCACTTATCAATCTTACTGCTGGATATTTAGATTGGTTATCAAATTTCATTATTACAATTGCTTCTAAGATTTTACAACTCCAATTACTTGTTTGGGATAAATTCTTAAGAGAAGTACTAGGTCAGAGCTATTTTTTTTTTTTTTGAGGATGATTAGCCCTGAGCTAACATCTGCTGCCAATCCTCCTCTTTTTGCTGAGGAAGACTGGCCCTGAGCTAACATCAGTGCCCATATTCCTCCACTTTATATGTGGGATGCCTACCACGGCATGGCTTGCCAAGCGGTGCCACGTCTGAACCTGGGATCCGAACCGGCGAACCCCAGGCCACAGAAGTGGAACGTGCGCACTTAACCACTGCGGCACTGGGCTGGCCCCTCAGAGCTATTTTTTAAAAAACCTTTTTATACCATCCAGCAAAATTATGACAATTTATGTCTAATCATAGAGTATAAATGCATGAATTAATTTTCCTGGATCCTTGGCACAATATTTTCTAAATCTTTGCATTATGTTGACCTGCATTTCTCTCATTACTAGGGAAATTAAAATTTTCATTTAATGTTTTTGAGACATTTGACCCAAAACATTTCAGTTTTTGACTTTCTCATCTTACCAATGAAGAAAATATAAACCTAAGAAAGAAAGGCATTGCTATTTTATGTAATTTTAAGTTGGGGAAGGGGTGGGCCAGATAAGGAAATATTTATACCACTGAATAAAAAAACACTAAGGTACTGTTCAATTTTCTTAGTAACATTTCCATTTTCTTGGGAACTTGACTTCCATTATACTTTCTTAAATGATAAGAACTGAAGAAAAAGAACTTACTTCCACTGTTTGATATATTGTAAGGGATTAAGATTGCATCCTGCATCAGTTAAAGCTTTTTTGTATTGCTCCAAATCAGCCTGAAATAAGAAAATACAATATGACAAAAAATTTAACTCTCATAAGAGAGACCATTTTGTTTGTTATTTGATTAATCAAAAAGTTAGACCAAAGGCATGGGTTTAAATTCTAGGCCCCTAACTAGAGTCGAGTTGTATCTTAAGAGGGCACCCAAATGAACATATAAGATGAAAATTACATATAATAAAAATTCTCTTTGACAGGCCCCCATATCACCTATGAAGTACAGCATTTTGTCATCCTTCAGTAAGTCCAACAGAGTCAGTTTTTCTTCCACTGTTGAAACAGATTGCTTTTCCTTGGGATAGCATTAAATCAAAGACTTGGCTTGACCAAGAATATTTCAAAACCAGAAACACAAGGGGAATGACACTGAGAGAGACTGCAGATTCAGGTTTTCCCATCTCATATTCACTCTAGACGTCCACATTCATTAACTGAATGGCAAGTGTCCTACACTTTTTAAATCACTGTTTTCTCTTTCACGCTCTTTTTAGTTCCTGATGAGGAAGTTTAGTTGAATTTGTGTAAGTTAAAGGAGCTTATCATCATAGTGACACCACTCCAACAGTTGTACAAGATAAAAACTTTTAAGCTCACCATCAACCAAAGACGTTCACTACCTTGCATTTTTGGGACTATTAATCTGACATTAGCGGTCACAACTGCTTCAAGCCTCTTAATGATCACTTAAACTTGAGAAAAGACATAATCCTTCCCCAAAATAAACGAAAATAAAATATCAAATTGAGTTTTAAATTGATCAACTTGAGTTTTAAAATCATATATTCTTAAGAAAACATTGTAAATAGGCTATTAGAATCCCAAAAGACATAAGTACACCCCCATTAATGAGAGAGAGATTTCTAAAAAGAAAACTATACTTTCTTACTGAATTGAAATACAAGTCAAGTGATGCATTCCTAGGACAAAGTAGAATTGCCCTTCAAATATTGTATTTAGTTTGCTATTTTAACATGCCTAAGATTTTTGACAAAAAGAAGCCTTACAATCTACCAGACATTAAAAAATAATTGCTACCAGCAAAACAAAGGAGTTTACAAAAGCCCTATCATCCTAGATGTCATCTCTGAAGTTCTTATGCTTGCTTGTTGCTTATCCAGTAAAATTATCCTGAGTTAACAAGAGAGTTAACAGGTCCTTAACCCAGCAACAAGACTGAGACCAAAATCACTGCTTTCCTTCACAGTAAGTCAATTACCTATACACAGTTAAAAAAACTTATTTCCTCAAAAGCGACCGATGGCTCATTACAGAAAAAGAACACAACAAAATTACCCACAACCCACTCTTCCAGTGAGGAAAAAATCTTCTAGAAAGGAAAATGTGTCATTTTCCAATCATTCTTAGAAATTTATTCTGATATAAACATAGCTATTTAATTTCAATACAAAGTATTTCAACTTTATTTTTACATGAATCATATGATGGATGTGAATCTGAAGTTTAATCTCATTAAATTATAATAGTTACATAACTTTTTGGAACTCTGGGTATCTTCCTCCAGGTGACTCCTCTATATTATATAATGGACAATAGTTTTAAAAGAATTGCAAAATATTACAAAATTTTCACTTTAGGTTGAAGATAAATTCCTTGGAAGGCAAATAAGTATTAGTGGCTATAGCTTAAAGAAATGGAACTTCTAAGATCATCACATCTTGAGAAATGGTAAGACTAACCTTTCAAAAAGCATAGCAAACTTGGTTAAGTTAGTTTAGAATAGTTAGTTCCTAGAAATAAGAATTTTGGCCACTTGAATTCAGTCATATTCCAACAACTTAAAAGTGGTCAGACATTTCATGAGTGGATAGTTCTCTTGGTGACAATAAATACTAGTATAAAACTCAGCAGTAAATAGAACCAGCCTTAACAAACTGTTTTTCTTTTAAAAACAGGAATGAAGTAGTTATTTGGCCATAGTGATTTTTACTTCTATTTTGAAACAAACAAGTATACCCCCTCCCCCCAATAACTGAATACAGAGGACATACCTCAGAAGGTGCTTGCTGTGCGCTTATATAATAGATAAGAAACAGCCTCATTTTATCTTCTGGAGTTCCTGCTACATAGGGGGAAATAGATTTAAATCTTAGACTTTCATAATTCTGGTTGTTATGTATTATTGTCAACACGATAAATTCAAGGCACATATACACGTGACAAGACGAAATATGGTTCTTGATTCTACTGATTTAAGGCTATAGGCACTACATTACAACCACAGATATGGAAAAAGATTAAATGCTGTGGGATTAAAGGGATGGGATATAGAAGTCTCTCCATTCTATCTTCGAAACTGTCTATAATATTGAAATTTACCTTTCAGATACAAACTCAAAAGCACAGAAAGGTACAGGTAGTGTAGTCATATAATTCTAAACCAGGATACTTTTGAGATGGAAACATGATGCTAGTAATGGTTATGTAAGGACAACTGGTGTAAAAATGGGACTGCCGTGGGAAACCAGTTGGATGGTCACTCTATGTACTAGGTTATGAAACCTTGTTGGCTAAAATCATCCAGCTGAGCCTACGGTCATGCTTCTGAAATCAGGGCCACTAAATATACATTTCTCCTCTTTCAGAAACGTATATGAAGATTTGGGAAAACCATACATTTATATTAACATAAACACTGTTGTATTATGCAGTAGAATATACCTGCCTGAAATTTTAAGATAAAACACAGATTTCAAAGAAATTTCCTGCTTGCAATGGGTGCTTTGAGCTACCACTCCTATTAGCCAAAGCCCAAGACTGTCCACAAAAACTCATTCATTCTCCCCTCTGCTATTGTGTGTACTTTGGTGCAAAGTGATAAAGCAGTAGTCATGAGTAACTCAGTTTTACTACTCAACAAATAACAACATGTACTAACTCAGAATTGTTATACTTTATTATAGAATAAAAACTAGGATAATTTTTCCAAAACACGACTGATGAACCATCGATTTTTTCATAAGGTTTAGAATCCAGACATCCATTGTCAAATTATTCTTATTTCCTAAATATGTCAAAGAATGGTAATAAAGATCAATGATAGGTTCTCCTAAGTTCTCATGCTTACAATAAATACTGTATTTTGGGCATTTTGAACTAGGTTATGAGATTCAGGGTCTTGTTTAAAATCCTAGGAGAAAGCTGATACTTTTGTTTTAGCAGTGTTCAGGCCAAAGTTCCTACCAGCCTTCTGTGGGTTGTGGTTCCATTGTGGATTCTATTTTCAAAACCTTTTGAACTGCTACTGGGATCTGTCCCACTGTCCAGTGGCCAATATGGGAACGGGGAGGTCATCTAGCCCTTCACCTCTCAGTCTTTGGAATGCTGTTTAGGATCAGATTCACGCAGGCGCAGCTCAGAGGTGAGCCCAGGAATTCATAAACAACTTTATGTGGTTGCTTTCCTGAGCTCCTTCCTTCTGCAGTCTCCGTGGTACTTTCCAGTTTTCTTGGCCTTCCCTTTTTGGTGCTCCAGCCAGAAAACTTTGGCTTTAGTTATCCTGCTCCATTGTGCATTTCCTGCCACTATGACTAAGCAGCTAGAGGACAAAGAGAAAAAGAGGAATGGGGCTTGCCGTAGGCTCTTGGGACCATGGCTCCTAAGATATGAGAGAAAGGCTCCTCTCCGTCAGTTTTAATGGCCTGTGGGTCCCTGCTGTTGCTTTTAATATCCTTAGCAAGTAGCATAGCCTTTTTTAATAAAAGGCACTTAGTCTGCTGGAAGAAGGAACAGTTTCCACTCTTCTTCAAGGAGAAATATATTTTATAATTGCTACAAGTTAATAAATGCCCGAAAACCTCTGCTAAGACTTTAAAGAGTCTTAGGATGGTAAGGCTTGGACAGCATCCTGATGCTTATAATGACTCATCACAGGGGAACCAAATGGAAATTGTAAAAACGTATCCTTTACAACTGTCAGTACTCTAGAGCCAGTAGCTACAGCCTGAATCCTCTTGTCATACATAAACTTCTACTGTAACTGCTCTCTATTTTAAAGTCAGAGATTCCTCACTGAGGAAAGTTGTAAGTACAATTCAGAGAGCTTCTTTTCTCCCTGAACAATTTGGGAGTAAGATGTTGACCTGCTGTCCTATCACTCCCAAATGTCAAAGACATTCTCCAATATAACAACCTCAATATAACAACTATCAAAATCAGGAAATTAGCATCGATACATTACTACCATCTAATCCTCAGATGCCATTTCAAGTTTGATAGATTGTCTCTATAATATCCTTTTGGGAAAAGGATTAAATTCAGAATCATGTGTTGTATATAGTTGTCACACCTTACATACAGTTTTCTTCTGTATGAACAGTTCCTCAGTCCTTCCTTGACTTCCATGGCCTTGATGAAGATCACAAGCTAGTTTTTTTGGTAGACTGGCTCACAATTAAGTTGTATCTGATATCTCCTCATAATTATATTCAGGTTATACATCTTTGGCAGGAATATCACAAAAGTGATACTGTATTCTTTGTATTGCACCCCCCTGGGTGGTGCAGTATTTCAACATTTCTCATTACTAATGATGTTTCACTGCAATTACCCAATAAGAGATCTGTTAGGCTTCTCCATCGTAAAGTGTTTTTCCCCCCTTGTAATTAATAAGTATTTTGTAGGGAGGTACTTTGAGACGGTGTAAATATGATGTAAAATTTCAATTTATTCATTTATTATATCTGTATGGATTCATGGCTTCCTATTTCATCCAGTGGGTTATAATCTGTCATTATCATTATTTATTTTGATGCTCATATTGTCAGGATCTGGCTACTGAGGGCCTCTTCAAGCTGACTTCTGGGTCCTTTTGACATGTCTCATCACGTTTTGAGTACTTTCCTTGCTTTCAGACACAACAAAATGTTCCAGGCTTATTTTGTACTTTCTCTTTCTATCTCAGCCCTGGAATCAACCACTCCTGCAATGTGTCCTAGTGGAAAATATTTATAAGCTAAAATCTTTACCGTTGGGTTAGTGTCACTCCTAGACCTGCTCGGTTGGCAGGGCTAAGGAACACATATATATGTGAACATAAACACACACTCCTATATTTATTTCTCTAGCTGACAAATACACAGTGAAAATACTAAGTCCACACCAACATCTCCAATTACAATCCAATATTACAGGGTTCATTCTACTTTTCTCCGTTTCCATGTTTATAACTTCCTTCTCTGACAAGAGGAAATTTGGCTCCCTTTATATTTCTGAAATATTTACTTATTTAACCAGTCCCCTGTATGTAACAAATATCCTATCTCTGCCGCCATCCCCTCGCCTGCATGGATGCCTTCTCATTCCACTTGGGCTCCGATTCCTACAACGGACCCACTCACACGCATGGACATAATTCTCACTGCACCTGGGCTGATGCTGGGTTGCTATTGTGCAGCGTCACCCTCCTTAATCTGTTAGGGCTCTTATACCACACGCTGGACTGCTCCCACATGTCGACATTGCTCACTTCACTTGGATTTCAACACCTCCTGCTAGATTATTAACCCTCTCACTACCCCATGCGTGAACGTCCCTCTCATCCTGCTCAGGTTCCAACATCTTGTTCTGGGCTAAAGTGGTACCAGACTGCCACTTGGCATGAATGCCTACCTTGCTCTGCCCTTTAAAAATAGTTTGAGAAAGTAAGGGGAAGGAAAAAGAAAAGGATCTGATTGCCTTTTTATTAGCATACTTGTTTCAACGTTACTCAAAACTTATGGTAAATAACAAGGAATAGCTCTGAAGTGACGGACGTATATATATTTTGCATTTTTTTCATTCTAAAGTGCAAATACTTTCAAAATGCTAGGTTCTCACTACAAATATAGCTTTTTAAAAGTGTGAACAATACTTATGGCTTCTCAGTAGTTTTTGTGAATAGAACCCTTTAATTACAAACAATTTGGATTTTTTTTTATTACTTTCCAATTTGGAATAAAGTCTAAAACTCATACCAAAACTATAATTCAAAAACCATTATTATTTAGCTGAGTAGCTTGTATGCAATATATAAACTGAATAGCTTATATGCTTTTCATTCGTTTTAGAAAAGAACTGAGATTTGAATTGAAAACTATTCTGAAGTGATCAACAAGTTCACTAAAGTTTAGAGAATTTTAGAGGCTAAAACCCTATGTAGATCTCATGACCATTATAACCGAAAGCAATAATTAGATTACATTTTCTAAGTACAAGTAGTTATATCTCATTTTAAGAAAATCTAACATATATACATTTAGATAAATGTAAAGGGATTGACTAGACTTTCTTTAAAAGTCAATTCTCTAAACATTTAAAATAGAATTTAGTTTTAGATAGATCTTTTTAGGAAACTCTTTGGGGTTAGACCAAAGTAATTAACAAGTGTACAACTTAGAGACACTTGCTTTGAATATTATACCTTCAAATCTTCCTGGAACCAGCAGAAATTGAGCTTCAGATGTATCACTTTAAATAAATTAATATAAAAAGTGCTTAAATACCATCGAAGAAAAGTTCAACGAAGTAAAATGCAAATCACTTTCTACTTTAGGAACGAACTTCTATGCTACGAACCTCTCAACAGAAAATAACTCATTTAATTATCTCATTATTAGCACAAACTGTCAGAAAAACAATACTTCTATTCAGAATCTTACTCAAATTGAAAATGCTGGAGCATCATATGTGAAACACACATTAACCTCAAATTTATGGTACATACCATCAGGGTCTGATATTATATCTAGAAGAGATTTATCCAGAGTAGTTTTGCTCATTATTTTTTCTTCATATTCAAAATATACATCTAGTTTCCTTGCCTGTTTCAAAATAAATATTAGAATACATTAAGTAATAAAAACATATTAAAGGCCTCGCAGCTTACTATTCTATTTTCTATGATCAACTTTAAAAACAAATGTTCATTTCCTAATAGAAGTTATTTTAAAGTTTCTTACTTTTGATCACTTAATATAAAAAACAATAGACTATTTTATTTACCATATTTGACTTATAAATTCAGAATTAACTCTGTAAGTCATATATATTAGCGAAGATAAAAATCACACAAATCACAATTATTGTATTAATGAGTAACTAGCACACAAATCATATACTGTATCCCATGCAAATTAATGTCAGGTGGTCATGTTACTTTCTTAGTCTGTAAATCCACATATTTTCACCTTAAATGGACAGAAAGTTACCCTAGTTAAATTATTTTCAATGGTTTTTAAAATAAAACTTTTTCTCATTAATTTTCCTACTTAATACTTTGAAGTTTTAGTTACTGGAAAAGTAATCCAACTTAGCTTTTCTGTACGACATCCTTTCTAATTTAAAATTTGTTGACTGAAATTATCCAAATGAAATTGACATTTAGGATCCTCCAAGGTAAATAAAAAATATCATTATCAAGTATCTATTAAATTATGCTTCAGATAATACAAAAGAGAGAAAAGAACACACTTCCATTGAAGGTGTTAACAATCTAAGGGAGAGTAGAAACCATTCATGAAATAAATTAGAATACTTAGAGACACCAACAAAGAACCAAAATATAAACATAGGACATAAATATATTAAGCTAAGACAATAGAATGAAATAAACAGTTAATCAATTGTGGAGGAGGAAGTGATGAATTTGAGTTTTGAAAGTGGTTTGGGGACATGGATAGATAGAATTCATTTCAGTTAAAGGGACTGCACCAAGACACAATCAGAATGGAGACTCTGTTCAGACTAAGGAGTGACAGACTAAGGAGTGACTTCATACACGAGGCGACAGGAAATCGTTCAGAGTCCCTCAATCCCACTCCCTTGCAGTAAGGCCAGAGCTTTAAAAGGATGAAATAGTCAGTTTAAAAATCAAAACAACATAAAAAGATATACATAGAGACCTGTCCCCACCTCTGTCCTCTTCCACCCCGTTTCCACCTGCTTCTATGGATATTTACTTTGATGATTTCTTCTATAGTTTTTCAGCTCCTTTATGCAAATGCAAGCAAATAGGGTCTATATCCTAATATTCCTCTGCTTTCTGACACTTGCTTTCACTTGACAATATATTCTACATGAGAACATGGAGAATTTCCTTATCAGTGAGCTCTTGACAGAAGTATGACAAACTCTTTAAGAGTTTTCCTTTTTATAAACTCTTCCTTTTTAAAACCCTTCATATTCTTCAGACTCCCTGACAGAGAAACTATTTTAACTACTATATAAAGCTACTTTGAATACCAAAATAGATAAGAGGTGAAGTCCTAGAAATGGAAAAATATAATATTAAAAATGGACAAAAGATATAGAAAGGAGATTCTAGGAACAAGACCATGCAAGTGGCTGTGGGACTGGAAAGGAAGAGACAGATATTTAATAATTAAATGAGATGGATACAGGAAGCAAAGTAGTGAAAAAAGTCAAAGACAACTCCTGGGGAACTAGGATGATGGTAGTAGGAACTAAGTTCACATGAATATTAGACTGGGAAAGGCTACATGTAGAGTGAAGCCAGGAAGGGACGGGGGGAGGTGGAAAACAAGATGTTAGAGCTGCCTTTCAGGCCCTCACAATCTGCTCCAGCCAACCTTTTTTAGCACTGTTCACTAGGTTCAGTTCCCTCTAGTCACTTAAATACCTCCCTGACTTTCCATTAAACATCGTGTATACTTTTAATCCTCTAGGCTTTGGCTCAGGTTATTCTCTTAGCTTTTTAATATATTTCTCCTTCATCATCTGCCCAGAGAATTCTACTCATTTTTCAAGGTCCAGCTTCTCTGCAACTCTTCAATCTTTGTTCTTTCCCCTTCCTGCCCCTCTCCCAATCTCCTTCGCTGAAGAATTTATTACTCCCTTAAGTATGTACTGACAGCACTTTATACACCTCTCCGTAAGAACAATGATCACACATCATATTACTCTCCTTGGTTTACACGACACCTTCTAAAACTGTAAACTCCCTCGAGTGTGTCCAATTAATCATTTAACCCTAGGGGTCTAACACAGCGTCTGGCTCAAAACAAGTGCTTGATAAAATATTTGTTGGATTTCTAAGAGCAGGACGTATACAGATCAAGCAGTGATCTTCAAGTCATGAAAGTAGATAAATGAACTCCTGGAAGTGAAAAATGTAAAGAATCAGGTTTTTAGTGATTTATTATATATAATATTAATTTAAGTACGCTAAATGCCATAATGGAATCTAATGTCTGTACCCACATAAATCAATGAACCACGTTTTTTCACTGATTTATGTAGGTACAGACATTAGATTCATTTTGCTCTTCCTGATGTATATCTTACTAACACTGTACCTTCTAATGAGCAATGGAAATAGAATCCAAAAGCAAGTTAGTCTGACTGCTAATGGGTAGGGAGTTTCTTTGGAGCTGATGAAAATGTTCTAAAATTACACTGTGGCTGTGGTTGTACAACTCTGTGAATATACTAAAACCCATTAAATTGTATACTTTAAATAGGTGAATAGTATGGTATGTGAATTAAACCTCAATAAAGCAGTCAAACAAAAGTAACTTAGCATTTCACTATACTGATTGGGAAGGAGGGAAAGGAATGAAGTAGAGATTTTCTAACCTGTGTAAGAGAATTAGTATCTGTTCAGCACCCATTATGTGCAAGGCTACCACTTTCAAATGTTTGTAAACAGAACCTCAGGACCCTCTTTCTGAAACCAAATCTTGTCAGAACCCTAAACATAAAATAGATACAAGTGACGCATTAAATGTCTCTATAGAGCTCTAGGGTACCAGAGAACAGTGTTTAAAAACTATTAACTTAGATTATCCCATTTAATTCTCCAAATAACACTATGAGCTAGGAATTATTAGTCCCATTTTAAAGATGGAGAAACAGACACACAGAAACATAAATTTATTCAAGGTTACCAGAGTAGAAGTAGTAGAGAGTTGAGATTCAAATCCAGGTCAGACTCCAATGTACACCACAGATAAAGAGTAGGGAAAATTACATTTTCCTCAAGAACAATTTATGCTTCCTTTGTATATGCTTTATGAAAGAAAGTATATTTGTCAATTAGTACATAACTTGATTTTTTGGGTAATACACATAAGTATATGTGGCGAAAGGTTACTTTGTCCAGAGATGTAATATCTATAGGTCCTTTCCTTATTTTTTTAAATAAGGAAAAATACTAAGAGAAACAACTTCTATAATTCCAAAGATTGATTATTCTTATACAAGATGAGTTCAAAGGAGAATACAATTTTGATAACAAGAGTTACAAGGAAAACAGACAAGTTAAAAATATAAAACAAAATAACAAAGTCAAGATAATAAACAGATTTTTGGTAGCTTTAATAAATATCAAGATTAACTGAGTAAGAAGGGAATATTATAGAAAACCAAAGATTATGTATGAAATACAAATTATATCTAGTGAAAATAAACTCTCAGAGCCATGAATTTCTCCAAAATCCCTTTAGAAGGGCTTTCTAAGAGAGGAATCTGATAAAAAAAATCTAGTGTTTTTCTCCAAATTCCAGTTATCAGTGGACAGCCAGGCTGATGTTTTTCACATTTCAGTATATTGCCTCAACATTTATATAAAATTAACATTTCATATATCTATCTATGGCCTTTTTTGACTGGGAAAAGCCTACTGGGTTTGAAAGGAACAAAAGAAGGAGGCACTTTTAACAACTAGCTTTTCCATTCCCTCACCATAATGGCTCCTAGGAGTCATCTGGGATGTATAAGCAGTACCCATATTTTACCTTTCAAAAATACATTACCTAGAAACATTTGTCAGATGACCAATACAGGACAGGAAAGGAATTCCCTTTCCCTTCCTAGGATTGTGGGGGATTTTTCCTTGTCTTTACCATTCCTCTTTCCATCCAGCTACAGACACCACCATTCTGGGACTACCTACTCACTGCCAGCTACAACTCTCATTTCTCACCTCAGTCTAGGACTGGTTGATGACAAAGACTAGAGTAGTATTTCTTGGCCTTCTCTCTCCTCCAAGCCCAAATCTATCCCCTAGCACTAGTCAGCAGTGCAAGTAAAGGCGAGAAGGGATTAGAGAGTTATACTTCCTTTTACTATTAAGAATCCCAATCTTCTCCTCCTCCTACTTCTTACAGGAAGGAGAGGGGATGATAAACCCTTCCCTGCTGCAACACAACATCAGGAACATTCCAGACTATGGATTAAATAGGATTTTTAGGACAGGGACCAATCTGCCACATAGTATCTATAGGAAAGAATATCCTAAGCTAAAATGACTTTAGAACTGCTCTTTTAGGATATAACCTATACCCAAGTTGAAGATCATTTAGATCCTAGCCTTTCTTGTTCTTTCTTTCTTCTTCCCATGTTTAGTTTCTATCATCTTTTAGGGCTGTATTTGGATATCCCTTTCTCCAGGTGGGTAGCAGCTGTATGTTGTATTGGTCTGTATATGTGACTAGAGCATAAACTCTAGTTTATACTAGATTACTTGTTCATTATTGTATGCCTTTACCCTGCAAGATGACTGGAATTCTCCAAAACGCAACTGCTTTCTGTAATATAACAAAATAGCACATTAATATACTTCTAGTTATTTAGGTGTGTATTCTGTCGCATTTCATACTGGTGGGTTTGCATGGATTTGCCAACATGAAAAGTTATGTTGCACAAAAACCAGATGATCCATGAAAATATATTTGAAGGTGTTCTTTAACTCAGATGGCTGAAAATATTTACTATAGAGAACCTGCTCATATGCCAAGGTGACTTAGAAATCTGGAATAAAATCCATCCTTATAGCTCTACCTCACTTCTGTGCAGAGATGGG